AGTAGTAGTAGTAGTAGTAGTAGTAGTAGTAGTAGTAGTAGTAGTAGTAGTAGTAGTAGTAGTAGTAGTAGTAGTAGTAGTAGTAGTAGTATAGTAGTAGTAGTAGTAGTAGTAGTAGTAGTAGTAGTAGTAGTAGTAGTAGTAGTAGTAGTAGTAGTAGTAGTAGTAGTAGTAGTAGTAGTAGTAGTAGTAGTAGTAGTAGTAGTAGTAGTAGTAGTAGTAGTAGTAGTAGTAGTAGTAGTAGTAGTAGTAGTAGTAGTAGTAGTAGTAGTAGTAGTAGTAGTAGTAGTAGTAGTAGTAGTAGTAGTAGTAGTAGTAGTAGTAGTAGTAGTAGTAGTAGTAGTAGTAGTAGTAGTAGTAGTAGTAGTAGTAGTAGTAGTAGTAGTAGTAGTAGTAGTAGTAGTAGTAGTAGTAGTAGTAGTAGTAGTCCAGTCAGTAGTAGTAGTAGTAGTATCCAGTAGTATAGTAAAGTAGTACTATAGTAGTCCTGAGTCTCTGAATGTTTCGTTCCTACACAAAACAAAAACACAAATCTATGTACATCAGAAAATAAATAAAACCAAAATGTATTTTTATCGAACACAGGAGCAGATGTTTGATCAAATCGAGGACGGCTGTTTGTTTAATTTATTTGAGGCTTTAAAGTTAAATTATTATTATTAGTTATTTTATGTATTTATTTTTATTATTATTATATTTTTTAACAGTATAAATATTAAAAAAATTTCCTGTAATCTTGCACACGTGCCTTCCTCTGCCCAGCGCTCCACACTGCCCCCCTCTGGTGAACATCTGCAACTGTCATCATCAACTTTGAAGATTTTTTAGGTTTATTTTTTAGTATTTCAGTCAAACTTTTTCACTTTCAAGCCAAATTTAGAGAGAAAGAAACTTTTAAAAACTTCTTTATTTGACTCATTTGGTGCAATTTGTTTCAAAATATAAAGATATTTTATATTAGAAATGAATCTGCTTCTCTCAAAATGGAAATGATTTGCTTTGGATTAACATCAAAATACAACTTCAGTTTTAAAAGCTGCACTGTGTAACTTTACTCTTTGGGGTTACACCACTTTCTCCACATGGAATGTTCCACAGTACGGCATTAAACGCAGAATATCTAACACTTTTTAAACTACTAGAGATTTTAATAGTTTAGTAGTAGTAGTAAGAAGTAGAAAAGTAGAAGTAGTAGTAGTATTTAAAACAGTAATAGAAATAGCAGTAGTAGTAGTAGTAATAGAAGTAGTACTAGTGATAGTAGTAGCAGTAGTAGTAGTAGTAGAAGTAGTAATACTAGTAATAGAAGTAGGAGTAGTAGGAGTAGTAGTAGTAGTAGGAATAATAGAAGTAGTACTAGTAATAGAAATAAAAGTAGTAGTAAAAATAGTAGTAGTAGTACTAGTAGTACTAGTAATAGTAGTAGGAGTAATAGAAGTAGCAGCAGTAGTAGTAGTAGTAGTAGTAGTAGTAGTAGTAGTAGTACTAGTAATAGTAGTAGTAGAAGAAGAAGAATTAGTACAAGTAATAGGAGTAGAAGTAGTAGTAGTATTTTCATATTATACAAAAAAAAAACATTATTATTTTGACATAACATAGAACCCGACCCTCCCACAAAGAAAAAAAAAACATAAAATAAAAAAAAAAGAATAAAATAAATACATAAACATAAACACACACACTAATAAAAAATACACAAAACTGGGTTGTTGATGTCAAATGTCAATACAACCCCAAATATAAAATGAAAGATTAAAGAGTTACAGTTACAGTTAAAGAGGAAACACGAGGCTCACATCAAATTATTAAATCTATTTTTTCTTTTGTGTTTTAAGAAAAGTTTTACAAAAACCTGTCAGAACGTCCGATAAGAGTGTGTTTAATATTTTAAATAAGATAAGTTTAATCATACCGTACTGCGGAACATCTCAGGCATGGTAACGTCAGATCTCCATGGAGACGAGCAGGTGCTGGGACGTCACGAACCTGTCAGTCCCTGTCGCTTCACCTGTCACCTCCTCCTGTTTATCCTCCTGATCTCCTGCGGACGCTTCTGTGAGTGTTTCCTCTTCAGACCTGAGCTCCATAGAGACCTGAGCTCCCCGAGGTTTACACAGGGCCGTGTCAGGAGCAGCTGCTGCACCTGCCTGCACCTGCACCTGCCCCTGCACCTGCCCCTGCACCTGCTCCTGCTCCTGCACGAGGGTCTGATCTGTACAGGGGAGGACAGGTCAGACGTCTCAGGTTTTCTGTGATTTGAAAACTTGTATCAGGTTCAAGTTCATATAAAGTGTTCGTCTTTAACATCACTTTTCCAGACAAAGTCACTTTACAGTTTCTGTTTTCTTCACTCACTTTAGACTCTGTGGTGGTCAGATGCTTTTGTCGCCACAGCTGCCCTGGGACAGACTGACAGAAGTGAGGCTGCTGATCTGCAACATCAGCTCCTCCCACCTCCACTGTTCAGAGAATGAGTGACCTGAGTCTGTCTGCTTGTTTCATCAGACGGTGTTGTTCTTTTTTAACCCGTGGCAGGTTCAGGTCCTGTCAGGTCAGGTTCAGGTCCTGTCAGGTCAGGTTCAGGTCCTGTCAGGTCAGGTTCAGAGGACAGGAGTTGTTCCTCAGGGCGGCGTGAGCTCACCTGAGCTGTTCACTTTATAAACAGAGGAGCACTCATTCACAAACACAAACACAAACACACTCTCTCATGGTTCAACCATTCTACTGTTACACAAAGGGTTAAACACTTTTGAATATTTCATAGAAATTGACAGATTTATAACTTCCTTGTTTTGAAAAACATGTAGAAAAAACTAAAGAAACTAAACTCTTGTCCAGGTCGACTCGTACTTGTACCCAGGTGTTTTTACTGACTCTAGGTTCACCTGGAGCACAGACGAGTTCCACCTGTGCACAACAACAACAACAACAACAACAACGTCTGCACTTCCTGCGTCGCTTTAGAGTCTGTGGTGTGGACCAGAGGATCAGATTGATATTTTTATCAGGCTGTGTTTATGTTTATATAGATTTATATATCTCTATATCTCTATATCTCTGGTGAACATTTATCTATCGATCAATCGATAGATAAATGTTCACCAGAGTCTGAGTGGAGAACTGGAGAAGCAGCTTGGATGAGCTGAGAAACGTTTTCGACCAAAATAAACTTTTGTCCAGTTGACAAATTGATTTTCTTCTTTTGTTGTGGATTCTACTTGAACTCAGCTGAGGAAGAAGGTTCAGGGCTCGACTCTGTCACATGAACAGATTGAAGAACTCCTTTGTTCCAGAGTCGATTCGGCTCCTCAACAATTAGTAGTTATTTGTGTTTCATGCTACACTTTATTATGGATTGATGAATTGTAATTATTGTGTTTTTAATGTATTTTGTATTTATGGATTCTATTTTTATATATTTTAAAGCACTGATGGCAGCGACTCAACAGCCCAAGACAATAAAGTTCATCTTAAATCTTGAACACACAACATTCAAACTAAATAAAAGACACTCAATGAAGCAGTGACAGCTAAAATAAAAGTTCTTAACTCGAGGAGCGTGATGTCTTTATCATTTCACAATAAAAGCCCGACGTTCTGCAATCTTAATAATCTCTTTATTTGACAGACGTTACTTTAAATTCTGACAGATACATTCAAAAATATCAAAAGGCCTAAAGGTTCATCTCTATTTCAAAATAAAAGCACACGTAAAAGCGTTACAGTTAAAAATCTCCTAGTTTCATGGAGGCCTTTCAAAATAAGAGTGCGCCTATTTACATCATGTCCATAAAACTTCTGTTCTCTTCGTTTCTGTTTTCGTTTTTACATATTAACACACGGACAGAGCTGAAAGGATCGGACGTGTTGTTTTTTTTTTTTTTATCGTATATAAAATGCGAGCACTCTACTTCACCATAAATAAGACATGTTTACAAAAATATAGAAATCACGTCAAAAACCAGAAGCGCTGGAGCCGGAAGCAAAAACCAGGACGGTCCAGTTTGGGAAAAGTTCAGAAAACGAGATGGAAAAGAAAAGATACGAAAAGTTTAAACCCGAAACAGAAAAACAGACCAGAGCCGAGACCACAGACCCAAGAGGAAACCAAAAAAAAAAAAAAAAAGAGTTAGGGAACTAAACCGGGACTAAAACAGGACTAAAACAGGACCGAGACTAGACCAAGACTGGACCGAGTCTAGACCAGGACTTGGCAAGGACTGAACCGGGACTAAACTGAGAATAGACCAGGACTGGACCGAGATTAGACCAGGACTAAACGGAGACTGAATCAGGACTAGACCTGGACTGAATTAGAACTGGACTGAGACTAGACCAGGGCTAGAGCAAGACTAGACCGGGACTAAAACAATAATAGACCAGGTCTAAACCGTGACTAGACCAGGACTAGACCAGGATTGAACTGAGACTAGATGAGGACTAGACCGAGATTAGATTAAGACTGGACCAAGAATAGACCAGGACTAGATCAAGACTAAACTGGGAGTAGATCAGAACTGAACCGGACTAGACCAGGACTGTACCGAGATTAGACTAAGACTGAACCCAGACTAGACTGAAATAGACCGGGACTAAACCAAGACTAGACCACAACTAGGCCAGGAGTGAACTGGAACTAGACCAGAACTGGACTGAGACTAGACCAGGATTAGTCTAGGTCTGACCCGGGACTGGACCAAGATTAGAACAGGACTAGATTGAGAATGAATCAGGACTAGACCAGGACTAGCCCAGGACTAGCCGGGACTAGACCGGACTAGACCGGGACTAGACCGGGACTAGACCGGGACTAGACCGGGACTAGACCGGGACTAGACCGGGACTAGACCAGGACTAGACTAGACTAGACCAGGACTAGACTGAGACTAGACCAGGACTAGACCGGGACTAGACCGGGACTGAACCGGGACTAGACGGGACTGAACCGGACTAGACCAGGACTAGACCAGGACTAGACCAGGACTAGACCGGGACTAGACCGAGACTAGACCGAGACTACATCAGAACTGAACCGGGACTAGACTGGGACTAGACCAGGACTGAACCGGGACTAAAACAGGACTGGAGTGACACTAGACCAAGACTGGACCGAGACTGGACCGGGTCTAAACCAGGACTAAGCCAGGACGGAATCAGGACTAAACCAAGATTAAACTAAGATTGGACTGAGCCTAGACCAGGACTAAACCAGGACTAAACCAGGACTAGACTGAGACTAAACCGAGACTAGACCAGAAGTAGACGATAATTAAACCAAAACCAAACCAGGACTAGACCAAGATTAGACAAAGACTAGACCAGGACCGAACCAAGTCTCCATGAGGTCCAAACCTGTGTGAACACTCAAACTGAAGTAAAAGTGAGGACCAGTTTTTAAATCACATTTTGTAATTTTCCGTCGGGTATTTCACATTTTTTAATAATGAATTTACTTTTAATCAATTGAAAAGTGCGATTAATAAAAACTGTAGAAAACTTGGGGCTGAAAATTAAACTGAAATGAACTGTTTTTGTTTATTCTGATATAATTTTTTCTATATTTTTTTGATTTTTTCCACTGCTTCTGGGGAAACTAAAGACACGATGTTGATATTTTAGCCTAAAATAATAAATAAATAAAAGTGACGGGGGGTTTCTGTGTGTTCGGTCTGTGGTCCGGACGTCAAAAATCCCGTTCGATGGTTAAGACATGAAAGTGGCTGGAGGGTTAAAGAGTTGGGGCGCGTTGGCTTTAGCTGTAGCAGTAGTGGTACATTCGAGTGCAGTCCTCCTGCTCAGACCCAGGGGGCGCTCTCAGTCGTAGTGTGAGGTTCTTCCGGCGCTCAAGACGACGACGAGGAGGAGGAGCTACTTTTTTTTGGAGTTGACGCTTTTGCAAACCCAGTTCATGCCGTCCTGCGAGAAACAAGAAAACACAGACGTTACAGATGTACAGATGTCCTGGTTTGGTCCTGGTTTGGTCCTGGTTTAGTTCTGGTTTAGTCCTAATTAAACTCTGGATAAACTCTGGTTAGGATTTAGTCTGGATTTGGCCGTGGTTTAGTCTTCGTTTGGTCCTGGTGTAGTCCTGGTGTAGTCCTTTGTTCCATCCCGATTTAGTTTCCAAATAACTGCCTAACTGCCGCCTCGATGAGCTTCATTTGACTGGAGCTGAACTCTGTGGTGACGTCAAACTCACTTTAGTTTAATTTTTTATACAAACTATGAACAAGTAACAGTTTAGCCCTGGTTAAACCTGCTCAGTCTTGGTTGAGTCCTAATTTAGTCCTGGTTTAGTCCTAATTAAACTCTGGTTAAACTCTGGTTAGGATTTAGTCTGGATTTGGCCGTGTTTTAGTCTTCGTTTGGTCCTGTTTTGGTCCTGGTTTAGTCTTGGTTCAGTCTGGTTCAGTCCTGGTTCAGTCTTGGTTCAGTCTGGTTCAGTCCTGGTTCATTCCTGGTTCAGTCTGGTTCAGTCTGATATAGTCCTGATATAGTCCTGGTTTAGTCTTGGTTTAGTCTTGGTTTAGTCTTGGTTTAGTCCTGGTTTGGTCCTGGTTTAGTCCTGGTTTGGTCTGGTATAGTCCTGATATAGTCCTGGTTTAGTCCTGGTTTTGGTCCTGGTTTAGTCTTGGTTTAGTCTTGGTTTAGTCCTGGTTTAGTTTGGTTGGTCCTGGTTTGGTCCTGGTTTGGTCCCAGTTTAGTCTTGATTTAGTCCTGGTCTGGTTCTGGTTTAGTTTAAACCTGGTGCAGTCCTGGTTTAAACCTGGTTCAGTCCTGGTTCAGTCCTGGTTCAGTACTGGTTTAGTCCTGGTTCGGTCTTGGTTCAGTCCTGTTTTGGTCCTGGTTTAGTCCTGGTTCAGTCCTGGTTTTAGTCTTGGTTTGGTCCTGGTTTAGTCTTGGTTTGGTCCCAGTTTAGTCTTGATTTAGTCCTGGTCTGGTCCTGGTTTGGTTCTGGTTTAGGTTTAAACCTGGTTCAGTCCTGTTCAGTTCAGTCCTGGTTCAGTCCTGGTTCAGTCCTGGTTTCAGTCCTGGTTTCAGTCCTGGTTCAGTCCTGGTTAGTCCTGGTTTCAGTCCTGGTTCAGTCTTGGTTCAGTCCTTGGTTCCTGGTTCAGTCCTGGTTTAGTCCCTGGTTCAGTCCTTGGTTTAGTCCAGTCTGGTTCAGTCCTGGTTCAGTCCTGGTTTAGTCCTGGTTCAGTCCTGGTTCAGTCTTGGTTCAGTCCTGGTTCAGTCCTTGGTTCAGTCCTGGTTCAGTCCTGGTTTCAGTCTCTGGTTCAGTCCTGTTCAGTCCTGGTTCAGTCCTTGGTTTAGTCCTGGTTCAGTCCTGGTTCAGTCCTTGGTTCAGTCCTGGTTCAGTCCTGGTTCAGTCCTGGTTCAGTCCTGGTTCAGTCCTGGTTTCCTGGAGTCCTTGGTTCAGTCCTGGTTTAGTCTGGTTCAGTCCTTGGTTCAGTCTTGGTTCAGTCTGTCAGTCTGGTTTAGTCCTGGTTCAGTCCTGGTTCAGTCCTGGTTCAGTCTTGTTCAGTCGTTCCTGGTTTAGTCCTGGTTCAGTCTGGTTAGTCCTGGTTCAGTCTTGGTTTCTCCTGGTTCAGTCCTGGTTTAGTCCTGGTTCAGTCCTGGTTGTTCAGTCCTGTTCAGGTTCAGTCCTGGTTCAGTCCTGGTTTAGTCCTGGTTTAGTCCAGTCCTTGGTTCAGTCTGGTTTCAGTGTTTCAGTCTTGGTTCAGTCCTGGTTCAGTCCTTGGTTCAGTCTTGGTTCAGTCCTTGGTTTAGTCCTGGTTCAGGGTTCAGTCTGGTTCAGTCCCTTGGTTCAGTCCTGGTTCAGTCCTTTCTGGTTCAGTCCTGGTTCAGTCCTTGGTTCAGTCTTGGTTCAGTCCTGGTTCAGTCCTGGTTTTTAGTCCTGGTTCAGTCCTTGGTTCAGTCCTTGGTTAGTCTGGTTCAGTCCTGGTTCAGTCCTGGTTCAGTCTGGTTTCAGTCCTTGGTTTAGTCCTGGTTCAGTCTGGTTCAGTCTTGGTTCAGTCCTGGTTCAGTCCTGGTTCAGTCTGGTTCAGTCCTGGTGTCTGGTTCAGTTTGGTTCAGTCCTGGTTTAGTCTTGGTTCAGTCCTTGGTTCAGTCCTGGTTCAGTCCTGGTTCAGTCCTGGTTTCAGTCCTTGGTTTTAGTCCTGGTTCAGTCCTGGTTCAGTCCTGGTTCAGTCCTGGTTAGTCCTGGTTCAGTCCTGGTTCAGTCCTGGTTCAGTCCTGGTTTAGTCCTGTTTAGTCCTGGTTCAGTCCTGGTTCCTGGTTCAGTCTGGTTTAGTCTGGTTTAGTCTGGTTCAGTCCTGGTTCAGTCTGGTTCAGTCCTGGTTCAGTCCTGGTTCAGTCTGAATTGTTGATAACTTGTTTGTTGTTTCTGCACTTTTCATTTTCCAGTTTCACCGGGTTTTAGTTCAGTTTCAAATATTCTTGTTAAATCTTCTTCTGCCTGTTTACTGTTGGTGGGCGTCTGTTCTAACCTGGATGCCCTCCCCGGTGAGCGCCGAGCACGACTGGATCTGCCAGATTCGGTCCCTGATGGTGTGAAGGTTGAGTCCCTCTGCGATCTCGGAGGCCGGAGCCGCCGTCAGCAGGTCCTGTTTGTTTGCGAAGATTAAAACCGGGACGCCGCTCAACTTCTCCTCGTCCAGCAGCTCGGCCAACTCCTGGACACGCAAGAGGACGAGTAAAATACAAACAAAAATAAAATAAAATACAACAGAGGAACAACAGCTCGGCCAACTCCTGGACGCGCAAGAAGACGAGTAAAATACACACAAAAATAAAATAAAATATAACAGAGGAACAACAGCTCGGCCAAGTCCTGGACGCGCAAGAGGACGAGTAAAATACACACAAAAATAAAATAAAATACAACAGAGGAACAACAGCTCGGCCAAGTCCTGGACACGCAAGAGGACGAGTAAAATACACACAAAAATAAAAATAAAATACAACAGAGGAACAACAGCTCGGCCAAGTCCTGGACGCGCAAGAGGACGAGTAAAATACACACAAAAATAAAATAAAATATAACAGAGGAACAACAGCTCGGCCAACTCCTGGACGCAAAGGACGAGTAAACACACAAAAATCAGGAGGAACCAAGTCCTGGACGCGCAAGAGGACGAGTAAAATACACACAAAATTAAAATAAAATACAACAGAGGAACAACAGCTCGGCCAAGTCCTGGACAGCAAGAGGACGAGTAAAATACACACAAAATTAAAATAAATATAACAGAGAACAACAGCTCGGCCAAGTCCTGGAACGCAAGAGGACGAGTAAAATACACACAAAAATAAAATAAAATATAACAGAGGAACAACAGTCGGCCATCCTGGACGCGCAGAGGACGAAAAATATACACAAAAAAAATAAAATAAACAGAGGAACAACAGCTCGGCCAAGTCCTGGACACGCAAGAGGACGAGTAAATACACACAAATTAAAATAAATAAAAGAGGACTAAGTAAAACGAGTACACCAGGCCAAGTCCTGGACACGCAAGAGGACGAGTAAAACACACACAAAAATAAAATAAAATACAACAGAGGAACAACAGCTCGGCCAACTCCAGAAACGCAAGAGGACGAGTAAAATACAGAAAGAGAACTGGCTCCAAATTTACTCCTATAACCGCAGGCCTCAGTGAGCTTCATTTGACTGGAGCTGAACGCTGTGGTGACGTCACACTTAGTCCACGTCTTTATACAGTCTGGTTTGGTCCTGGTTTAGTCCTGGTTAAACTCTGGTTAGGATTTAGTCCGGTTTTAGTCCAGTCTTAGACCAGTCTTAGACCAGCCTTAGACCTGGTTTTAGTCCAGTCTTAGACCTGGTTTTAGTCCAGTCTTAGACCTGGTTTTAGTCAGCCTTAGACCTTAGACCTGTTTTAGTCCAGTCCTGGTTTTAGTCCAGCCTTAGACCTGGTTTTAGTCCAGTCTTAGACCTGGTTTTAGTCCAGCCTTAGACCTGGTTTTAGTCCAGCCTTAGACCTGGTTTTAATCCAGCCTTAGACCTGGTTTTAGTCCAGTCTTAGACCTGGTTTTAGTCCAGCCTTAGACCTGGTTTTAATCCAGCCTTAGACCTGGTTTTAGTCCAGTCTTAGACCTGGTTTTAGTCCAGTCTTAGACCCGGTTTTAGTCCAGTCTTAGACCCGGTTTTAGTCCAGTCTTAGACCCGGTTTTAGACCTGGTCAAATTCTAGTTAGACTCTGATTAAGATTTAGTTTGAATTTAGTCTTGGTTTAGTCCTGGTAAAACTCTGGTTAGGTTTTAGTCCAGTTTTAGACCTGGTTATTCTGGATTTGAGTCTGGATTTAGTCCTAGTTTGGTCCTGGTTTGGTCTTGGTTTAGTTCTGGTTTGGTCCTGGTTTGGTAGTCCTGGTTTGGTCCTGGTTTAGTCCTGGTTTGTCCTGTTTGGTCCTGGTTTGTTGGTTTAGTCCTGGTTTAGTCCCAGTTTAGTCTTGCTTTAGTCCTGCTTTTTAAGATACAGTGAGATTTACTAACCACAGGGTAAAAGAGACATTTTTAGACGTCCTGAAAACTCAAGAAGAATTTTGAGGAACCTGTAATCGACATGAGCGTTTATGATCACGTTTCCTTTTTTTTTTTTTAGCTTTCGACTTAAATATAATTCGAGAGGGATTTTTAACAGCGTAAATCAGCTCAACAGTTGAACTTCCAGCTAAGTTAATTCTTTATAATCGATCATTGTGTTAAAACAAATCTCCGATGTTTACGTCCGACTTGAGTAGCAGAGTTTCAGACAGAGCAGTGCCTCCGGTTAGCTCTGTCTGTGTTAAGGGCCGTTCACACCAAGGCGTCAAAACGTCCAGTTTCAATGTAAGTCGATGTGGACGCGCGACTAGAGCGTCCGGCGTTTTTGCGGAGCGTCTTAGGCGTCTTGAGCGTTTTGGCGTCAGCGTCAAGAAGTTGAAAATGCTGAACTTTTCGCGTCAGACTCGCCGCGTCGACCAATCAGGGACGAGTATCCAGAGACGCAGCGACGTAATTATCAGGAAGAAAAACCCGAGAACCAGAACGAAAACCACAAACATGAACGGAGAATAAATATATACACCACAATCACCGAGACGATCGCGAGGACTAAACCAGGACCGGACCAGGACTAGGACTAAACCAGGACCGGACTACACCAGGACCGGAGGACTAAACCAGGACTACGGACCACCAGGACTTAAACCAGGACCAGGACTAAACCAGGACCGGACCAGGACTAAACCAGGACCGGACCAGGACTAAACCAGGACGGACCAGGACTAAACCAGGACCGGACCAGGACTAAACCAGGACCGGACCAGGACTAAACCAGGACCGGACCAGGACTAAACCAGGACCAAGGACTAAACCAGGACCGGACCAGGACTAAACCAGGACGGACCAGGACTAAACCAGGACCGGACCAGGACTAAACCAGGACCGGACCAGGACTAAACCAGGACCGGACTAAACCAGGACCGGACCAGGACTAAACCAGGACCGGACCAGGACTAAACCAGGACCGGACCAGGACTAAACCAGGACCGGACCAGGACTAAACCAGGACCGGACCAGGACTACTAAACCAGGACCGGACCAGGACTAAACCAGGACCAGGACTAAAACCAGGACCGGACCAGGACTAAACCAGGACCGGACCAGGACTAAACCAGGACCGGACCAGGACTAAACCAGGACCGGACCAGGACTAAACCAGGACCGGACCAGTACTAAGCAAGGACTGGACCGGGAGTAGATCGAGACTAGACCGAGACTAGACCGGGACCAAACCAGGACTAGACCGGGACTAAATAAGGACTAGACCGAGACTAAACAGGGACTAGACCGGGACTAGACCGAGACTAAACAAGGACTAGACCGGGACTAGACCGTGACTAGACCAGGACCAGACCGAGACTGATCCAGCGTCATTAGTGGAGTATAAATATAAACACGCCGCAGTCGTCGAGTCGATCTCCTCCTTTGATGTTTTATGTCATAAAAACACTAAAGTCTCTCAGTCTGGTCTGACATTGTTTCGGGAAAAGACCAGGACCGGGCTCTTGTTTCCAGGGCAACGGACGCGTGTCAAGTATTTTTCTCCCGTTCGTCCGCGGCGTCAAAGATGCGCGTCGGGGGGCGTCTAAACTCAAATGCAAAGGCTCCAAATAGAAGCGTCAAGGCGTTTTTTGACGCTTTGGTGTGAACGGTCCTTTAAACTCACCTGCCCCGTCTCCTCGAACCTCTTCCTGTCGGCGCTGTCGATGACGTAGATCTGAAACACAGACGTCAGCGTGAGTGTTTGTTTGTTTGTTTGTTTGTTGTATAAGTGTATAAATAAAAGTCGTGTCTGTGAGAAGATCCAGACCAGGACATCTGTGTTTTCAAAGTAGTTCCTCCAGTAGGGTCTGATCTTCCTCTGGCCCCCGATGTCCCACACGTTTAGTTTGAAGCCCTGAGACTGGACACTTTTGATGTTGAAAGCCCTGGAAAAACAACAAGACAAAAACAAAACTAAACGAAACGTCAAGTCTTATACAAACACGTGTTGTCAGAATCCAACGGAACTGATACTAAAACCAGTATCGAAACGAGATACGAGCAGGTATCGATACTAAAAAACAAGTCCCACTGACACGTCTTGGTTTAGTCCTGATATAGTCTCGGTTTAGTCCTGATATAGTCTCGGTTTAGTCCTGATATAGTCTCGGTTTAGTCCTGATATAGTCTCGGTTTAGTCCTGATATAGTCTCGGTTTAGTCCTGATATAGTCTCGGTTTAGTTCTGGTTAAACTCTGGTTAAACTTTGACTGGGATTTAGTCCAGATTTAGTCCTAATTTAGTCCTGGTTTGTTCCTGCGTCACCCCCACCTGGAGGTGTATGGTCGTTTTTACCTGCGTGGGGGTGATGTGTATGGGTGTGTATGGTCGTTTTTACCTGCGTGGGGGTGATGTGTATGGGGTGTATGGTCGTTTTTACCTGCGTGGGGGTGATGTGTATGGAGGTGTATGGTCGTTTTTACCTGCGTGGGGGTGATGTGTATGGGTGTGTATGGTCGTTTTTACCTGCGTGGGGGTGATGTGTGTGGGGTGATGTGTATGGGTGTGTGTATGGTCGTTTTTTACCTGCGTGGGGGTGATGTGTATGGAGGTGTATGGTCGTTTTTACCTGCGTGGGGGTGATGTGTGTGGGGGTGATGTGTATGGGTGTGTATGGTCGTTTTTACCTGCGTGGGGGTGATGTGTATGGGTGGTGTATGGTCGTTTTTACCTGCGTGGGGGTGATGTGTATGGGTGTGTATGGTCGTTTTTACCTGCGTGGGGGTGATGTGTATGGAGGTGTATGGTCGTTTTTACCTGCGTGGGGGTGATGTGTATGGGTGTGTATGGTCGTTTTTACCTGCGTGGGGGTGATGTGGTGTGTATGTATGGTGTGTGTATGGATGGTCGTTTTTACCTGCGTGGGGGTGATGTGTATGGAGGTGTATGGTCGTTTTTACCTGCGTGGGGGTGATGTGTATGGGTGTGTATGGTCGTTTTTACCTGCGTGGGGGGTGATGTGTATGGGTGTGTATGGTCGTTTTTACCTGCGTGGGGGTGATGTGTATGGGTGTGTATGGTCGTTTTTACCTGCGTGGGGGTGATGTGTATGGAGGTGTATGGTCGTTTTTACCTGCGTGGGGGTGATGTGTATGGAGGTGTATGGTCGTTTTTACCTGCGTGGGGGGTGATGTGTATGGAGGTGTATGGTCGTTTTTACCTGCGTGGGGGTGATGTGTGTGGGGGTGATGTGTATGGGTGTGTATGGTCGTTTTTACCTGCGTGGGGTGATGTGTATGGGTGTGTATGGTCGTGTTTACCTGCGTGGGGGTGATGTGTATGGGTGTGTATGGTCGTTTTTACCTGCGTGGGGGTGATGTGGCTGATGTCTTCGGAGGCGAGCTGTTTTAGGACTGTGGTCTTTCCTCCGTTGTCAAGGCCGAGCAGCAGGATCCTCACCTCCTGGTCTGGTGTGCTCTTCAGCTTACGAAGAATCGACAATAATCCCTGAGGAAAGACGTCGGCAACATCCATGACCACGTTTAGACCTGGTTTAGTCCTGGTTTAGTCCTGCCATAGTCCTGGTTTAGTCCTGGTTTAGTCCTGCCATAGTCCTGGTTTAGTCCTGCCGTAGTCCTGGTTTAGTCCTGCCGTAGTCCTGGTTTAGTCCTGCCGTAGTCCTGGTTTAGTCCTGCCGTAGTCCTGCCATAGTCCTGGTTTAGTCCTGGTTTAGTCCTGGTTTAGTCCTGGTTTAGTCCTGGTTTAGTCCTGGTTTAGTCCTGGTTTAGTCCTGCCGTAGTCCTGGTTTAGTCCTGCCAGTCCTGCCGTAGTCCTGGTTTAGTCCTGCCGTAGTCCTGGTTTAGTCCTGTAGTCCTGTAGTCCTGGTTTAGTCCTGCCGTAGTCCTGGTTTAGTCCTGCCGTAGTCCTGGTTTAGTCCTGCCATAGTCCTGGTTTAGTCCTGCCGTAGTCCTGGTTTAGTCCTGCCGTAGTCTAGTCCTGGTTTAGTCCTGGTAGTCCTGGTTTAGTCCTGCCTAGTCCTGTTTAGTCCTGGTTCCTATAGTCCTGGTTTAGTCCTGGTTTAGTCCTGGTTTAGTCCTGGTTTAGTCCTGTTTAGTCCTTTTAGTCCTGGTTTAGTAGTCCTGGTAGTCCTGGTAGTCCTGGTTTAGTCCTGCCTGTTTAGTCCTGCCATAGTCCTGGTTTAGTCCTGCCATAGTCCTGCCATAGTCCTGGTTTAGTCCTGGTTTAGTCCTGCCATAGTCCTGGTTTAGTCCTGCCGTAGTCCTGGTTTAGTCCTGCCGTAGTCCTGGTTTAGTCCTGCCATAGTCCTGGTTTAGTCCTGCCATAGTCCTGGTTTAGTCCTGGTTTAGTCCTGGTTTAGTCCTGCCATAGTCCTGTAGTCCTTTAGTCCATGGTTTAGTCTGGTTTAGTCCTTTAGTCCTGGTTTAGTCCTGGTTTAGTCCTGGTTTAGTCCTGGTTTAGTCCTGCCATAGTCCTGGTTTAGTCCTGCCATAGTCCTGGTTTTGTCCTGCCATAGTCCTGGTTTAGTCCTGGTTTAGTCCTGCCGTAGTCCTGGTTTAGTCCTGCCATAGTCCTGGTTTAGTCCTGCCATAGTCCTGGTTTTGTCCTGCCATAGTCCTGGTTTAGTCCTGGTTTAGTCCTGCCATAGTCCTGGTTTAGTCCTGGTTTAGTCCTGCCATAGTCCTGGTTTAGTCCTGCCATAGTCCTGGTTTAGTCCTGGTTTAGTCCTGCCGTAGTCCTGGTTTAGACCTGGTTTAGTCCTGGTTTAGTCCTGCCGTAGTCCTGGTTTAGTCCCTATTTTACTGTAGTTCAGTTTTGACCGTTTCCACCAGAACTCTCGAGCACCGTTACCATGGCGATAAACAATTCAATAGAAAATATTACAGAATGTCTGATCTAAACGGGGTCTGATCTTAAACTCAGGAACAGCTGTTAGTTCTAGTTTAGATCTGGTCTGGCCTTGGTTAGGGGCTACTGGCTATGACTTGATTTTTTTGGCCCTGGTTTAGTCCTTTTTCAGACCTGGGTTAGACCTGGTTTAGTCCTGAATTAGACCTGGTTTAGTCTGATTTGACTTGATTTCATTCCTGGTTTAATAGTGTTTAAAACCTTTTTAGATCGAGCTGGTTTAGTCCTAAATTTGAACTGGGTTAAGACCTGGTTTAGTCCTGGTTTAGTCTTGGTTTAGACCTGGTTTAGTCTTGGTTTAGTCCTGGTTTAGTCTTGGTTTAGTCCTGGTTCAGTCCCGGGTTAGTCCTGGTTTAGTCCTGTGTTAGTCTTAGTTCAGTCCTGGTTTAGTCCTGAGTTTTAGTCCAGGTTTAATCCTTGGTTAGACCTGGTTTAGTCCTGGTTTAGTCTTGGTTTAGTCCTAGTTTAGTCCTGATTCAATCCTGATTCAGTCCTGGTTTAGTCCTGTTTCAGTCCTGTTTTAGCCCTGGTCCAGTCCTGCTTTAGTCCTGTTTTAGTCCTGGTCCAGTCCTGCTTTAGTTCCGGTCCAGTCCCGGCTCAGTCCTGTTTTAGTCCCGTTCCAGTCCTGCTCCAGTCCTGGTCCAGTCCTGCTTTAGTCCTGGTTTAGTCCTGGTCCAGTCCTGGTCCAGTCCTGTTTTAGTCCCGGCTCAGCCCTGCTTTAGTCCTGGTCCAGTCCCGCTTTAGTCCTGGTTTAGTCCTGGTCCAGTCCTGGTCCAGTCCCGGTTTAGTCCCGGCTCAGTCCCGCTCAGTCCTGATCCAGTCCTGCTTTAGTCCTGGTTTAGTTCTGGTCCAGTCCCGGTTTAGTCCCGGCTCAGTCCTGCTTTAGTCCTGGTCCAGTCCTGCTTTAGTCCTGGTTTAGTCCTGGTCCAGTCCTGGTTTAGTCCCGGCTCAGTCCTGCTTTAGTCCTGGTCCAGTCCTGGTCCAGTCCCGGTTTAGTCCCGGCTCAGTCCTGGTCCAGTCCTGCTTTAGTCCTGGTTTAGTCCCGGTTCAGTCCTGCTTTAGTCCTGGTTTAGTCCTGGTCCAGTCCTGGTCCAGTCCTGCTTTAGTCCTGGTTTAGTCCTGGTCCAGTCCTGGTCCAGTCCTGCTTTAGTCCTGGTTTAGTCCTGGTCCAGTCCTGGTCCAGTCCCGTTTTAGTCCCGGCTCAGTCCTGCTTTAGTCCTGGTTTAGTCCTGCTTTAGTCCCGGTCCAGTCCCTCGTCTTCCCGCTGTTGTATCACGTGACCCGCTCGGACACAGAGGAGCGCTGTTATCTCCTGCACGGGCCTTTTTACCGAAGCATCTTTAGAATGTTAACCAGGCGAAGCGCACGGCTCGTGCCCACGGGCCTTGTACGAACGCGCACGCTGCCCCGTCGGCCTCGTTTAATGACGTTATTGGCTTATAGTTTCATGTTGGAGCCGGTTTACGACGCGCCGCGGTGCGCTACACGGAGCTAAGGGCTGCTAGGCTAATCTCCACGGATAACTCTGCGAAGCGACAGCCACTTCTCCGCCTCAAACCTCCAAAACAGCGCACGTTTTAACGCTACTTTTTCACGCAGACGGAATCGCGCGGTCCTTATCGTGCGCCGCGAAGGGGCCGAGCCTTTTTAAGACCTAAATTTTAGCGTTGAAAGCCGAAATGTTGTGGTAAAATGAACTCACCATCTTGTTGCTTCGCTCCTGGAGACGCTGCAAACCCGTTACTAAGGACAGTGACGTCAGGACGCACACGGAAGCACGGCGGGTAGAAAAAAAAAAAAAAAGTAAAATAAATAAATAAATAAATATAAATAAACTAATACAATAATAATAATAATAATAATAATAATAATGCGGATTTATAACGGACTTATATAGCGCTGTTTTGGACAGTCAAAGACGCTTTACAAAAATATATTTATTATAATTTATACAATATATAATAATAATAATAATAATAATATGACTTATATAGCGCTTTTTCAGACACTCAAAGACGCTTTACAAAAAAAAATATATTAATTATACAGTCTATAATAATAATAATAATAATAATAATAACTGACTTATATAGCGCTTTTTCAGACACTCAAAGACGCTTTACAAAAAAAAAAAAAAGTAAATGCTGTATATTTTTATATTCATGGGCAAAATTATTCGTTTTTAAAGGTCCTATATTAAACTAAATTGACTCTTGTGAGCTTTAAGCCATGTTACAATGTTGTTACCGCCTCAAATACAGACCTGGAGTTGTGTTTTGTTTCATTTACACGCGTTTTATTATTAATCTGTCTACGTCTTCAAAACTCAAAATGCTCTATTCCACTTATGGTTCCACCTAGTGATGTCACAAAGTGGTAGTGTTCAAGTTAACAGCTACCTTTTACCTTTAATTCAGGAGAGAGTGAACATTTCAGGGCTGAAATTATCCGAATGATTCTCGTGAAGATGTATGGAGTTTAAAAACACAGTGGAGCTCTTCGTAAATCTGCCGTGTTTGTGTGTTAAATGTGTGAATGAAACAAAACACAACTCCAGGTCTGTTTGTGATGAGGAAACTACATTATACCAGATCAGAAAATAATGTAGTATGGGCTGTTTAATGATCTAAAAATATTAAAGATGACAAAGATGCCCACTAGAAATAAATATATATGTTTACAAAGAAAATTTAAACCAAATAAAGGTTGAAATATAGTCACAAAATGCTCCAAGATGTCAACTTTATTATTGTGAAAAATTGACTTTTTTTTTACTTGATTATTTTGTGTGTTTTTTTTGTGTGTGTTTTGTTTTTAGTTTTTTTTGTTTGTTTTTTTTTGTATCAATTTGATTTAGTAACCCCAGTCTTTGTTATAAAATGTCTTTTGGCATGTAGACTTAGACTTAGACAAACTTTATTGATCCACAAAGAAATGATTTTGGACACAGTAGCTCACGCGATATATAAATAATATAAATGGTATAATACTTTGTAAATAAGTAGCAAAAATGATAGAGATAGCAAGAGACAGGTGTGAAATAAAGTATAATTATATACATGTAATATGTTATATACAAGTCAGAATAAAATAGAAAAATAATTAATAAAAATCTGTAATCATTAAAAATGTGTTTTTAACAATTATGATTATCAAAATACCACTACAAATTTAACAATTAAATAAAAAACGTAGTGATATTTGATTAATCATTGCAGCCCTAAATATATTATTATTATTATTATTGTTTTATTTATTTGTAGTTTTCGGGAAAAGGGGGCGGTGCTTGTCCTCGTCACGTGACGCGCGATCGTACTCGTGGTTAGCTCGGACCTAAGCTAAAAACAACACTAAAACAACAGTTAAACATGTCGAAAAGTCAAATGCTCAGAGTTTTGGTGCAGGAGCGGCTGAGTGCGGCTGCGGAAGAGATATTTGCGCTGTTTGAGAGCACGATAGCGGAATATGAGGAGGAAAGGCGCCGATCCGCAGAGGAGAACCGGAGAAACAATTCGCTTCTGGAGTCGGTGCTGAGTCCGAGAGTCGTGCTGGTCCGGGCGGACGCGCACATGAAGATCCCGGCGACGAGTCCCAGCCCCGGTTTGAATCCTGGTCCAAATCCTGATGTAAATCGTGAGCTAAATCGTGAGCTATATCGTGAGCTAAATCGTGAGCTAAATCTTTGTTTGAATCCGGGTCCAAAAATCGAAACTGTGCAGATTAAAGTGGAACCAGAGGAGATGTGTGTCGAACCTCTCGTCACTCAAATCTACGACCACCAGCTGGACACTTTCCCGATGCAACTGAACACAGCGGATCAGGAAAAAACTACATTTAAAAAGATTCTGCCGTCGGCTGCCTGCTCGTCTGACCCAACTACATCGGCCACTTTTGTCCATCAGTTGCCATGTCTGCAGCCCAAACCAGCACCGACGGTTCAAGTGACACCCATTTTGTTGCTGCCCTCCGCTCCTTTGGGTCACCCGCCAACGTACGCACCGAAAACGCCAACGAACACACCGAATACGCCAACACACGCACCGAAAACGCCAATGTACACACAGAATACGCCTACGTACACGCAAAAAACGCCGACGTACACACCGCAAACACCTATGTACACACAGAAAACGCCCACCTACACACAGAAAACAACGACATACACACAACAAACATCTACGTACACACCGCAAAACCCCAACCTGTCACCTGCCGACAAAACGAAACGCAAACACACCCGGACTGTGACCTCAAGCGCGTGTCGTAGATGTGGACAGTTTCGCACGACGGAAACCGGACACAGTCAGTACAAAGGCAAAGTTTTTTGTCCGAACACTGAGCCGCTTACGAAAGAAAAGTGGCTTCACCGTATGAGGATGTTGTATTAGATTTACCCGTTACTTTAGTATTAATAAATGTTTAAATCTTGTCCTGGACCAGGTCTAAAGAAGTCCGGTTTACTGGGGCTAACAAAAGAGACCAGGACTGAACCAGACCAACCAGGCACAGACTGGACTCAACCAGGTCTAAGGAAGTCCGGTTTACTAGGCTTTGAGAGAGAAAGACCGGGGTTAGACCAGGACTGAACCAGGACTGAACCAGGACTGAACCAGGACTCAGGAGGTCCTATTTACTGGGTCTTGAGAAAGAAAGACACTGAAAAAAACAATATCTAGGTAAGTTAAAATGACTTAAATTAAGAACATTTGACTTTATTTGAGTCGATTTAACTTGACAAATACCAATGGAATAAGTGTTGTTTTTTTTTTTTTTTTTTTTTATTCAAGCAGCATTCGTTTTTGTTTCTTATTTTAAGTGCAAAAAGTTGTTGTTTTTCTTATTTTAAGTGTAACAAGATGTATTTTCATATTTTAAGTACAAAAAGTCTTGTTCCACTAATAGATAATTTTACTTGTGAAGTGAAATTTACTCAAATCATGATCAAACTTTCTTAATTCAAGTCGTTTTAACTTCACTAGATTTTGTTTTTTGGATTGTCGAGGTCCAGTTTTGCTTCTCCTGGTTTTGTTTCTGTTCTTAAAACCTTTTTTTTTTTTTTTTTTTTTTGCTTTGACTTAAACCTTCTCCTGGGATATTGAGGATATTGGATTAGTTTAACTTGTTAGTTTAATATTAATAATTCTTATTTTTGTTACCATTTAGTTTTAATAATTGTTCTGTTATTGAAGTATTTCTGGGATCCACTCTGCCTTTTTTTTTTTTTTACAGTGTGGGCCTATTTCTCTTGGTGCTTGTTTTGGGTCTTTTATATCAGTATCTTTGTTTTTCTAACATCTTTATGAATCCAAATGTATATTTTTAGATTCTGGTTTCTTTATAGTCAGAAAATAATCACTGAACTGTCTGATATTACTCACTTTTGGGCATATTATTGTGTTAAAGGTTGTATGGAGGATTTTTTTGTTTTTGTTTTGTTTCAAATTGTCAGTGATAGATTATAGATGCAGTAGCCTTGTAATTATGATGACCAAAAAAAAGAGAATAAAAATTCATCAACTCTGGACGTGGTGGGGCTAAACATTTGCCAATAGATAACGACACTGCCTCGTTATCTGTGAGCTGACAGGCTGTCAATCAAACTCCCTACGTTTCTAGTGTAACTGACTTGCCTGCGCCGCCGTTACGTGGTTTACGTACGACTGTCACGCAGTCCACAGACGCAAGACGCACAGACGCTGTTTACTCCACCAACGCAACAGTTCTTAGCGGCTTTTTTTGACCTATATCTTCCTCGCAGTTCGCACAAAGTTTGTTGCAATGGCGACAAGAATCCAGGAGCAGTTCGCCGCAAAAGAAAGTCCGTTTTTGAGGTCGCTGAAAGAAGAAGACAAGGGGAAAAGCAGCGAAGCCAAACTAAGGTGATTCTTGTAGATTCATTCCAGCGATGGAGCGCACTGAAGCAGACGCAGGGTCTAAAGACTGAACCACTGGTCCACAAATTACTCCTGGACAGGAAACTTCTGCTTATTATGAAAACGTACTTTATTTCCAAGAGCTAGACAAACGTTTTTCAGGACACGAAAGGCGATATCCTATGTCTGAAAACTTAATTTTCAAGGCAAAGAAAGAGTCCGCTTGCTGCTGCGTGTTGTAGCTAGTTCATTCGCACTGAATCTCCACGCAACCTTCTCTGCACCCCTTTCCTGCTCCTGTCCCCGCTGCCCGATCCACTCTTCCCCCTGCTCCTCACTTCTCGTCCGCGCACGAAATGTCCGCGCACCCGCTCCCCCCGCTCCTCACTTCTCCGTCTTGTCTAACCAACACTGTAGTTAGTTGTTTACAAGTCATGTGCAGCACCGGCTGTAAACAAACCTGTTTGTGGCGTAAGGAGGAGGAGGGAGGAGGTGTTTCTACGTAGGAGCTGTAGGGGAGGGGAGGTGGTTTCACACATGCGCAACATTTGAAAAAGGACAAACAGTCGCTGGATTCTCGTTCCTTGGAAAATCCTCTATACAACCTTTAATAGAGGTGTGCAAAAATATTGAAATACTGATATATCGTATCATTAATGTGATGATACAGTATCGATATCGTGGGCTGTTGTATCGATATATCGCCTATAGGGATGGGCATTCGATGAAATTTTCTTAATCGATCGTCGGAAGAATTAATGATCGATTATCGTTTTTATATTAAAATGATCATCATTATTATTACTATCTGCACTAATCTGCATAAATAAATTCAACTTTACAACATATAAACA